AGGAAATTTTACCATGGCTATGGGCCTCCCATCGACCCTTCGACAAATCGCGCCATGCGCGCTCAGCATGTGTCGACTACGATATTAGGCTCCAGACCCAATCCTCGAGTTGGGGAATAGCACCCGACATCCAGGAAACGGATGCATCAAGTAAAACATCGATAAAGTGAACAAACGAAGATAATAAACAGAAATTAAGGACGGAATTATACTTACGATTCATATTCCATTTCTCAGGAAATGGCATACTCTCGGCCGGGATCAAGTCCGAGGTCCTCACTCAAACAAATCGGCCCATCCAGCCTCGGTCTTTGTCCTTATCTATGCTCGAGAAAGGTGCCCTGGTGGCCCGACGTTGAAGCTTTATTAGTCCCTCTCGAGAGAGTCGAGGGCTATACAGAAGTATGAGGTGGTCGAGGGTGAAAGGAAGCCCGTCAATTTTGCTTACGAAGAAATGAAGTAATATAACTATCCTCCAAAAAGAGGGATGAATCTGACCGAGGGTCACCTCGTACTTCTTGCAGAAATCTATGATAATCGGATCCAAGGAACCTAACGTAAAGGGGTAAGTATAAACACTCAAGAACCCCTCCACATGGGTGGTGATTGATTCTTCGGGAGCAGGCACCACCACATGTTTTTCACCCCAGTTGCAATCTTTTTTAACCTGGGTGAGAAGGTTATTGGGGATCGAACATATATATCTCGACACCGGCTCGCACCGACCCGGCACCGAGGAGGTCTTTTCGACCTTAAAATCGGAATTGAGGACATACCCTCCGGGAAAGAACTCTTTAGGGCGTGGCTCTGCCGCTGGTTCCTTGCCGGCCGGCCAGGATGAGGAAGAAATTTCTTTTTGTGGAACATCTTTTGAGGTCTTAGCCATTTAATTTCTATGGATGAAGGAGAATAGAAATTAAGAAAGAACACCTGGTATTTTGTGATGGAATAGGCGAAGAGGTCTGAAAATTACAAGCTCCGAGGAAGGCTGAGGATTAGAGGATAAGAGTGAAGAAGATTTGAAAGTAAAAGTTTGGGCAAAAGAAGAAAGGTATATCTACAGGTTAAAGATGACGGTTCAAATCCGGTAATGGCCGACCGTCGACTGGCGCGCATTAAATGCCTTGAGAACTGTACCGACGAGACGTGTCGATTACCTCAGTTGCTTACATCATGATGTTTCGAGGTGAAGATCGAGGATTCAAATTGTTTCTTGTCATTTACTCTCCAAGAAAACGAGGGGACTATCTGTATACGGGTAAAACTGAGCCCGATGCTCGACCGAGCTCGAGGCTTGACTGAGCTTCTGGAACGACGATTGAATGGAAATCGAAGTCATAAGTGAGAGCGGTCCCGATATCGAAGTTGTGATATCCGACATGATCGGTCAAGATCGGGACGTGGTAAATATCGTAATCAAAAGTGCTATCGAAGCCAGTCATCAAGACCGTCAGACCTGCCCTCGAGTTTATCGAGGGCGTAACCAGTCCTATTCTTAACGTCCTCGGAGAAAGCTCCGCCATCTCGGCCGACAAGGGTCTATAACTTTTGCCACTAACTGACAATTACAGCATAAATCACGGTATTAGTGGAAAAGGTGGCCAATGGTCTGAAAGGCCCATGCTTCTCTATAGAATAATGTCAAAAAGGGGAGATTTCCCCCAATAAATAGAAGAGATTAAGTTATTGATACACATGGCAATACACTCATAAGCAATATACTGTTAATTCTAAGCCTTTACTCCTTTTGCTCTGTCTTTCATCATATCCTCGTTATTATCAGCTAAAGGGAAACCAATTTCATAAGGCCAATGCTTACTCCAATTTTGAAGGTTGTATCTATCTTTTTGTTGCTTATTTCTACATTAATTTAATTTTTGGTCTTTGTATCAAATTATATTACGTATCCTTAGAACCGCGTATAAATTCAACTGTTATACGATTTTAAGGGTAAACAAGGATGATGCTGGCGATGAGATCGGAAGCTTCGAAACACGATCAAGGCGAGGGGCAACAGTAATAAGTTAGTAGCATAGTCTTGTACTCTTTATATTTTATAGGACTGGTACAAGAGGTTATAGCAGGGCAGTGGATTCGATATTTCGGTGGCCGTTTGTTATTGTTATTAAAGAAGTTTGATTAAAGACATGTTCTAGTGTGATAAGACATATTTGGTCATGCCAATATGCCAAGATATGCTTATTGGCGATTAGAGTTAGATAAGAGTATTTCTGGTTAAGAGTATTTCTTGCGTTGTTAAGTTCTCTTGTGTTTCAAGTTTCAGTTTACACATATCTCGATTAATTTTAATGAAATTGATTGTATTGAATTACGAATAGAGAGAATTGTGAATATCTTATAAAAATGTCACATAACTTTCAAGATGAAAGTTATTCCACCAGCAATAAGTATCAGGTAATTCTGTATACCAAAACTTAGACAAATAAGAAAAAATTATCTAGCATTTTTGTCTAGCCTCCTTTTTTTATTTATCATTTTAATTTTTAAGTTTCTATTACAGTGGAGGATCATCATTGTTTGTGGTACCACTAGACTAGATGTATGAGGCCGACTACATGAGCGGCCTTTTAAAGCTGGTAACATGTTTTTTTCTTTTTAACACGTCAATTAAAGGGGGAAGTGCACTGTTAGCCACTAATAACACATATATTTACTTTTAAGTCACTGTTTAAAATGTCTTTAGTCTTTAGCCACTGCTTTAATAAACTTTACCTGCCCGGACGAAAACACCCTTCTGTCATAAAAGTTCAGGACCAAGTGTCCTTAACTTTTGAACTTACAACTCTAAGTTCAGGACTACATGTCCTTAACTTTTGAACTTGCAACTCTAAGTTCAGGACTTCTGGACTACATGTCCTTAACTTTTGAACTTGTAATTCGAAGTTCAGGACCACCTGTCCTTAAGTTTTGTGCTTGTAACTCTAAGTTAAGGACTACTTGTCCTTAACTTTTGAACTTGTAAGTCTAAGTTCAGGACCTATTGTCCTTAACTTTTGAGCTTGTTAGTCTAAGTTCAGGACCAAGTGTCCTTAACTTTTGAACTTGTAACTGTAATCAGGACCAAGTGTCCTTAACTTTTGAGCTTGTTAGTCTAAGTTCAGGACCTATTCTCCTTAACTTTTGAGCTTGTTAGTCTAAGTTCAGGACCTATTGTCCTTAACTTTTGGGCTTCTTAGCCTAAGTTCAGGACCTATTGTCCTTAACTTTTGAGCTTGTTAGTCTAAGTTCAGGACTTCAGGACCTATTGTCCTTAAATTTTGAACTTGTAATTGTAAGTTCAGGACCTATTGTCCTTAACTTTTGAGCTTGTTAGTCTAAGTTCAGGACCAAGTATCCTTAACTTTTGAACTTGTAATTCTAAGTTCAGGACCAAGTGTACTTAACTTTTGAACTTGGAACTCGAAGTTCAAGACCAAGTGTCCTTAACTTTTGAACTTGTAACTGTAAGTTCAGGATCCATAACGTAGCAGAAAATCAAACGTTATTTGTATCTTTTCACATAATAATAATAATAATAATAATAATAATAATAATAATAATAATAATAATAATAATAATAATAATAATAGTAATAATAATAATTGTAATTTACATATAAGATTGATGTCAGATTCGGCTTGGATGCAATAAGACAAAGCTACATAACCTTTTCATTACTAGTCTGATAAAAATACAAGTGACGACGATTTAGTATCCCAAGATAATTTGTCTAATGATGATTCTGAGAATACAAAGGATGAGGATGATAAAGAGTGCAATAGTGATAAACATAATAAGTTACTGATAAGTTACGGAGTCCACGGCAGTCGCCGTCTCACAGAAGACGGCACAGTTCTTCTCCCTAACATGAAAGAGATAGAAGAAAGGGTAACACAATCTTTTCATATTTATTTTAATAGACTAGTGGCTACTATTGCCAAGCATCAAAAATGCTGGATAAAAAATAAATACCACTTTAAAAAGTGGCTACCCCACACAATTTTTACTCAATTAAAGTTTGTATCTATTAATACAGTTCTTATTAAGAAACAAAATGACATGAAATAAACAAAAAAGAAAAAAGAAAATTAAATTACTTGATTAATATTGAATTCTCCGCTTTAAAGAATGTTAAATTTGTCTAATCTTAGCTAAATAACAAAGTGAGAAAATGAAAAAAAAAAAAAAAGGTTAAGCGGTGCAGGGGTGCTATTTGTACATCATGACCCTTTACAATTTTGAATTTAAGAAAATGACCTTTTAGATCTTTTATGTGTAAAAGACAAATCTCTTACGTGTAAAAGCAAATCTCCAATGTGTAAAAAAAAGAGGTAGGATCATAAAACTAAAAACAACTTTGTAATGAGCCAAAAACCAATTACCCAGATGCAGGGTGAGTCATCCTTTTTCCTAATCCATCCTTTTCGAGAAGTTTTAATTGTGTTAGTTGTGTGAGGCTCCTTCTTGTCCCACAAATTTGTAAATCCTAATCTTACGCTTCGGGTTCCACAAAAATCTGGGTCCACAAAACTATAAGACGAAAGAAATACCTCATACAACTAGTGTCAGTGGTATGAGATACAAAATAAAAATTTTAATCCTTTTCAATTCACAAACCTATTGATTGATACGAGAGTCCAGACTCCAGAGTGGAAAAAGGAAAAGATTAGGTATACAACTAAAACCAATATATCCAATACCTGCCTGGGTTTCATTTTGCGCACCCTCTCCCTTGTAACTTGTTTTTTCATTACAATTTTTTTTAATAACATTCACAGTGCCTTTTATTCCTACACGAGTTGAAGAAAATAGAGGAATCAAGTAGTAATATGAAGTATTTATCCTTTACTTTAAATGCAAATAACTCTGAAAATACACGTCACTCAATTATAAATTAAAATAAAATTTATCGTAAAAGATGCTATACCTACTGGACTAAGAATAAAGTAAATTCCAAAGCAGCAATAATTAGAGAATGCATATATATATATAGGGGGCGCCTCCACTGTCACACTCCACTATATGACTCATTAGAGAAGCCACCATTTTTATGCACACAGCCAATAGCGATTCTTGAATCAGATTTCCACTAGTAAAAAAGTGAAAGCTCCAAGTATTTCCACTCTTAGCAGTAAAAGCACACACACTACTGGTGAGCAAACCCGAGAAGCAGAAAAGTGAGAGCAGCAGCCACAAATATCTATGGCTTCCAGAACCGCCGTCATCGCTTGGTACACTATCTGCAGCTTACCTTTACTCTCTCACTTCACTCTGATCACTATTTTTATTATATATATATTTGTGTTTTTAGGGGCTCTGGAGAAGATGGTCAATTGGGTATTGGAAATAATGAAGAGAAAGAATGGGTTTGTACTATTAAAGCTCTTAAGTCCTCTGAGAAAGTTTCTTCTATTGTTGCTGGCAGTAGAAACTCTCTTGCTATTTGTGAAGATGGCAAAGTATGCTCCTTTTTTACTATTTCACTCTCCATTATACCCTTTTCTTGTTTTTTTATGTGTGATTTTGGTTTATGGGTGTGTTGAATAAAGCAGTTATTTACATGGGGTTGGAATCAAAGAGGGACCTTGGGGCACCCACCTGAGACCAAAACTGAGAACATTCCTAGTCAGGTTAAAGCTCTTTCCAATGTCAAAATTGTTCAGGTAATATTACAATCTCAGCTTTCAATAAAGAATTTGAGTTTATTGGTGTAGGTTTTAATAGGCTATTTTTCTGATTGCAGGCAGCGATTGGTGGCTGGCATTGTTTGGCTGTGGATGATCAAGGCAGGGCTTATGCTTGGGGTATGCCTTAGCTTTATTCATCTTTACCCTTTTTACCATTTTGTCTTTGGAATAACAAGGGTTGAAAATGTACTGTTGAGTATTCCAAATTTATGAGTTAGGGTGGCTTTTTGAGTTTTTTCCAATAAAGAATACAAGAAAGATAAGAAAACGTAAGGAAAAGTTGTAATTTTTCTTTGTGTTGGTAGATTATGTCCAAAAAGTTAACATCTTTGAACTTCTGCTTTATTTGGTTAAAACAACAATGGTTCAACACCAAACTAGTAGGAATTAGGATCGACTATATGAATCCTCTATATCCACTTTGCCTTTATTCAGGCTTGTTTCATTCCTATACCCAATAACCTGCTTGAGTAGTTTAGTGTTCAAATTACTGAATTCTGGTGTCTTGGAGCAGTAGTACACTTGTACTTATTTTTTCAAGTTCATGATCCTTGCAGGTGGTAATGAGTATGGACAATGTGGTGAAGAACCGGAAAGGAAAGATGACACTGGAAGGCCTATTAAAAGAGATATCATCATCCCTAAGCGTTGTGCCTCTAAGCTATCTGTTCGTCAGGTGACGTTCTCGTTATATTGTGGAGTTTCTTTCCTTATTGTGGTGGTTGATGATGACTCTGCAAATGATGACGCAAAGACTTGTCTTTGTTGGTTTTGGTTCTGAATCCTGGCAAATCCTTGCAATTTATTGCATGTGCTCTCTAACCTCTAGGCCTTGTCTAGTGTCCGGGTCTATGCCTCATGCCAGCAAATTCATTGCTATTTCTTGAACTTATTCCTTTCTAAACATCCATATGATAGAATAGCTTTAAGATATAGGTTCAAGTTCATTTATTAAATATTATATTCTTTGGAAGAAAGAATAATTTACTACAGGTACTCACCAACCTAATCCCAATACATGCATGCCTATTAACTGCCTTTTCCCTTCCCGTAGGATCTTTTATAATTATGTGCAGCAATTTAGGTTGTGTTGCCTTTGTTGTCAATTGACTCCTAATTTCTTTAAACAGGTAGCTGCTGGTGGTACACACTCTGTTGTTCTTACAAAGGAGGGACAAGTATGGACATGGGGTCAACCATGGCCTCCTGGTGACATGTATAGTCTATTCTAATCGTTGGTCTTTAGTAACCATGATATACACAATAATATTTGTTTTTAGTTGAAAAATTTCATCAGTGCTGCACACTTTGCAGAAAGCAAATATCTACTCCTGTCCGTGTACAAGGTCTTGCAAGTGTGAGATTGATTGCAGTAGGAGCCTTTCATAACTTGGCACTTCTTGATGATGGAGTTCTAATGGCATGGGGTAATAACGAGTATGGGCAACTTGGAACTGGTGATACCCAGCCAAGATCACAACCCATTGCTGTTCAAGGGCTATCTGGTCTCACTTTGGTTTGTATTATTCTGTTCTTCTTGTCATTTTGACTCATTTTGTTTGCGAGGTGATTTTTAATTGGTTATTTTCGTCCATCTTCTGCTTGTCCTTATGTATCTTCTTTTTCTCAAAAAATTATGTCCTGTGTGTCTAGTAGTTCAGTCCAATTTTCTATGGATATATTACCTTACCAACAATCTTGATGCATGAAATAACCAGCCTCTATCAATTCTATTGATTTTAGAACTGAAACAGGGCCAAAGAGTAATAAATAATAATATACATCGATAAGAATGTAAGATGTATATGGAAAAAGTGTGTAAGATGTTTCTGTTGTCATGTCCAGGTTGATATTGCTGCTGGAGGATGGCATTCTGCAGCTTTGACAGATGAGGGAGAGGTATATCTTGTGTTTTACTGTTCATATTAGTTCTGCTTGATATTTTTGCTTCGTTTGTCCTTGTACTTTTTTTTAACAACGATTAGTATATATGTTATGCCAAGATAAAAGACACCTCCGGCAGAATGTTGGGTATCTGACCATATGGCATTGTTATGGTATCTGATCAATAGATTTCCTGATCCTCTTATTTCTGGCTTGCGCAACACCAAAGTGAAAATACTTGATGATTGGTGTTTTTTTTTCCTTTAAATAAATCTTCTTACGTACGAATGACGTAGTTTAAAGAAGCTGCATATAGTAGGCAATATTCATTTTCTCAACAGTCATCAACCTGTGTCAACTGTGTGTTAACCTCTACTTACTGCAGGTTTATGGCTGGGGAAGAGGGGAACATGGTAGACTTGGATTTGGAGATGACAAGAGTAGTAAAATGGTGCCGCAGAAGGTTCAACTTTTAGCTGGGGAGAACATTGTTCAGGTGACTTATTCATATCCCTCATTATTAGTGGGTCTCTCTTCTGCTTATCACTATGGAAGTCACTGTCTGTGCTTCATCAGCACTCTTTTTGTACCTGATGGAGGTGGGAAGCTAGCCGTATAAAGAATATAACTTCTGCGTCCAGGAAAAATGAAAAGTGCACTTGTGTTCATTATTTTAGACTGACATAGAGTTATGCCTTTGCTAGAATCTACTTGAGACTGAAATATTGCTCATCATCTAAGTGGTGCAAATATGGACACTGGACAGGAAGTCAAAAAAGTTTACAGAACTAAGAGGATGCAACACAACATTTTTTTTGATAAGGGGGGACACAACGCAACTCGGAGACTATATTATACCAAATTATGTGTCGCCTAAGCTAATATGTGGAGCATTGCTAGGAGTATTAATAACTGTCAAAGAAATGCAAAAATAATCTAGATTCTATACATTCTTTATAAGCATCTAAAAATAGCACCAGATAAAACATGTAGCAAAAAAAAAAGAGAATTTTAATCTACTATTGAAAAGCAAAACATAATAGAGCTGCAAATAAGAAAATCAGTCAAACTTAAAAGATGAAACAAAAGAAAAAATAGAACAGTCAGGGTGGAACTGAAGAAAAAGAAATAAAAAAGACTGGAATTTTGAGAAACAAAACAGCAAATCAGGGGTAATAAGGTAGAACAATGCTCTTTTCTTTATCCAATTTAGCTATTTTTCTTCTTTCAAGTTTGGGTAATAATGTCGATTTTTCTTCAAGTTTGATTGTATATTTTCCATCGTCGTTGAGCTCTCCAGGGCGTAGATTTAGGGTTATTCAGCTATTTGTTAGGCTTACGGTCTCAAAGTTTTTGTTCACTACATCGGTGCCCCGTTATTTCTCGTCAATTTTCAGGCATACTTAGTGACCATTTGGCATCCAAAAATAGGACATTTGTGACCAAACCAATTGGCACAACAAATTAAACAAGGACATGCGTGCCAAGAAAATAAAAGAAAGCAGGAAACCAAAAATAAAATATGTCCAACACTTGGCAATGTGTGACCAATTGGTGTCTGATACCGAGATGCAGCATTAAATTTGGTATCATTGCTTCATAGTTCACAGAGAGTGGAAGAAGAGTAAGTCCAAATATGAATGCTTGAGTTAAGAATTTGTTTCTTGTTGTTTCCCATATTTCTGAACTATCTGATCCAGGGTATGGTGAATTTAATTCAGTTCTTATTCTATTTTTTCTTGTCCACCCTATGCCTATCCATTTATTCCTCTTGTCGATACTCTGAGAAAAAACATTGCTTTCCATTTCTATGCTCTAACTTGTACCATGATATTCAAGACACAGGTTCACAAGCTTTAGTCCCCCCCCCCCCCCCCCCCCCCCCCCC